ACCACAGGCTGCTGGCCATTTTCGGAAACGAAATTAACCACCAGCAGCCTAAACGTAAACCGTGTGAGCAAAAAGCGTTTCGGCAATCCACCACGAAAACGAGACCTTTGTTTCAGTTGTTCGATGGCGTACTTTGTGCACAAAAAAGCGGGTGAAAGCTTAAGATGCGATTTCATCTCTTCGGGCTTCAGAACAGTAACACAAAGACCACAGGCGACTTTTCCGCTGCACACCGAGTCGACCAGCGTCAGTCCCAGCTTGGCTCGGAGAGCTTCAGAGCCCTAAATGCACACTAAAAACATTAAGCGCCACTTTTGTATGTAAAGGGATTCAATTACACTTTAGCGTATAAAAAAGCACCTCCCTTCTGAGAAAACCCATAAATTCGTGGGCCAAGATGAATCAACAATAAACAAAGATGGCAACAAGCCGGAAGTTAAAAGTTTCTAGGTGATACAGAGCATTCAGAACTCTTATAAATGAAGCATATCTATCAGAGATTTGGTGTCAGATATAAAATTCATCGCTTTTCATAGAAATACTGCTGCAGATATATAACCATGTCCGTCGTAACTCCTATCCTAACTTCACGAGATTAAGAATGACAAAGAAGAGATAAACGCAGAAGTGGAAGGTCTGCAATGACTTCTAACATTTCTAACGTTCTATCAAAATGAAAACAGCAACCGAGGGTTGAAAAGTAACTACATGAGATTTATCACCCATTAGCCTACAGATGAACTTGATACATTGACCACAGGTGCGAACAAAACATCTAGGGGCAACACCGAAAAGAGGATTTGTTTCGTGTGTCAGAAGTCAAAGATTTCCAAACCTGGAAAATCATTTTACCATTATTTATAAAATGTTAAACGAAGCATGATACCGTTCTGATGTCACTGTTCCTTACATTTAGCTATTTTATGCCACATCTGGCAAATTCCACGAGCTAGGTTCTAGGATGCAGCAAAGTTAATGTTGGTTTCCTAGTAGCCACCTGACCATTTGCCTTTCCTTGGTTACCTGTCACAAAACTGTACAAATAGTCCTTCGCGTGAGTATTGATTCTCAGCATCATGACCTCGCAGATGTGACCCACCTATGTGAAAAACATATCTGAAACGGCCATATTAATTACTATACTTAAAATATCCCAAGTTCTGCTAACGATTAATATAACAATCAAACGCATGCAATAACTGTATCAAACGATGTAATAACTTGGGTAAATAATACCGGTTGATTTGCATGGTCCTTCGATGTCGAAGACAAGGTGGAAGATTCGTAACTAAATTAAACATACAGATTCGAAAATCAAATCCCTAAATTAAGAAACTGTCAAAATCATTTTACATTACCAGTTAAATAAGTAAAGTTAAACAAACATAAAACTAACGATCTTAAAATAGACCGAATAAACAGCCATACTCTGAGATCCACTTGGTCAGTCGTCGACTGCAGTCCGCTTCCTTGAGGAACACGTAAAGGATACTCGATCGTCCAGGGTCACTGGTCGGTAATGAAATGCTGAACGCCTCAGAATCTGCAGAAACGGGTTCAAAATCAGGAACATCGTAAGCGATGCCGATCAACCTCTTATCGTTAGTGGCAAGAGGCACCTCCTTCGACAAGTAGCCCATGACTGCTCGCAACAGTTCAGGGTTGCTTGGGGTATTTACTTCACAGGAACACGTTGGCACAGCTCCTGGGATATACTTGTAAGTCGCCTCTGAAGCGAAATACGTCACCGCCTTTATCCGACTCAGGCAGTGGTTGACGGTACGCATAAAATAATCCATGGACTTCCACTTTGATCGCAACGTAGAAGCAATATTCAGGACCACCTCCACAACGAGGGGGTCCACACCGTCGTGGATCGGTGGCAAAGGAAGGCACGGGTCCTGCAAAAGCGCCCTGACCGAAAAAGCTACTGAATATGCCAATGAATCGAGACAATAGCCGCCCTCTAATGATGCAATCACTCGACCGGTTGCGAGACAGCAAAGCATTTGCACCAAATGACCATAAGTCTGAGGATTCACTTTCATATGGCCGTCAGGACAACCGACCGCGGCGTCGTATCCGGCACAAATAAAGGTCAACTCTGGAGAAAATTCAGTGGCCAGTGGTAAGATGAGATGGTGAAAAACCGCCAAATATTCTGCATCACCCAGATCACACTTGTTCAGAGGAATGTTTATGTTATAACCAAAACCTAAATACAAAACTAACATAAATATTAATTAAACTTTATGCCAACAAATGAAGTTACAAAACGCACTAAGTTCAAACGATATTTCAAACAAAATATCGATCATCACAAAGATAGGGGGAGGGATATCTCATTCTTCCATCTGTCTGCTATATAGCTGGACATTTTCGATAAATGCCCTACACTTTAAACACTTTTCGTAGAAAACACGGCATTCAATTTCCAAGCTTGAATAGGTGATAAATGGTATGAAGACGATGTTGATGATGAGTATAACGATATTTAGATTATGGCGGTGAACAGGATAATGATCACGAAGAAAACATGATCATTTAAAGAGGATAATGATAACAGTCAAAATGTAGAAGAGTATTACGAAGGACTACGATAACTGTTATGATTATGAAGAAGTCAGAA